CCCCCCCCCCCCCCCCCCCCGGGGGGGGGACCCCAGCCGGCCCAGGGGCCGAATCGCCCCGCGGGCGCGGCTGGCCAGACCCCACTCTTTTCCCCGCCCAGCCCCTGCGCCTCGCCCCCAACTCCCCTACGTGCACCCATTTTACAGGCCGGGTCGCCAGAGGTGCCGCGCGCAGCCTTTCTGGTGGACCGACCCAGAGCGAAAACACCCAAAGAAGGAAAAAAAGCAAAAAAGTGCTACCTTGGCAACCACGGACGTTTAGTGGCCAGCTGGTGGGCTGAGAGGGGCGGGCGGCGCCGACCAGAACTCTTGCTGCTGAGCCCGCCCCTGGCTGGGGCTGGGCTGAGCTTGACCGGGACCATAAATCCATAACTCGATTTCCCTAAAGAAGGATCCAAAGCTGTGCTCGGCTGCTTCCTGCCCAAATCCAAATGGCTGCTCTGTTTCCAAACCTGAAAGACAGATCACAAACCAAGCACTTAAACAAGGAAAAGAGTGCTCTCTTCCCAGTGAGGGGGATGATGTGGCAAGGCTTTTGGGCCACAGGGTGGGAGTGACAAGTAATCCACAATTTACCTGGTGTTCTCCCAGTGCCTTTCTCTGTAGTTCCTCTGCTTCATACCCACTCTGGGCTCGGCCAGCCCACTCTAGGTGCTTTGACTGAGTGTCATGGCAGCAAGAGAACCCTGTAAGAGACATGCATAGTTAAGCACACAAATATTACAAATGTATTTGCCTAGATGGCTTTGGGAAGAAGTAAGACTCAAATAAAGATAGGGTCATGCATGGGTGAAATTTTCAGCAGTGTGTTTTGGAAATGCATTTTCTCAAGCCCAAGATCACAGAAAATAAACACTCATTCAATTTATTACTTGAAATCAAATACTTATAGATCTACAAAAATAGGCATCTCTCCTTTGAAGGCCTTAGAGCTATACAACATAATGATTTTTTTAAAGAAAAAAAAGAAGGCTTGGAGGCATGAAATAATTAAACCCATTTTCCATAGTATCAGAACTCACTCAGTTGATAAACTGATAGAGTTTCTATGATTTAGGCATAATTTTATAGTACCACAATATTTCATTTCATAGGCCACCTTTTAAATACACATTATAAATGCATTGCTGGGCCGCTGTTGTGAACACCTCTACAAAGAAACCATTGAGACTGTCTTCATAAAAAATTAGTTTTAAGAAGGAAAAAAACAATAAAACTCATTTGCAAAGTGACAGTAATTTTGGCATTCAGAGACAGAATCTTTGTGATTCTTTGATGATCAATATGGCTCTTACTGGAAAAGCTTTGTCTTAAGACCCTGCGGTAGATATTCTGATAATAGGAGTTTATTGTTCACTAAATAAAATGGACAAGTGCAACGTCACTACCCAAGACATGTTGTAGCTCCATTAGAAAGTTCTCAATTTGCTTTCCCTTTACACTCAAATACATGGAAGTACATCCATGTGAGTAGAACAAGAAGGGTATGTGAAAACATGGCAATAGGCATTATGATTTCTCAAATTATGTAAGTGCAAATAGCTCTTCATCAAGGAGTAATTATATAACAAAATCTCTCCCACTACCACAACTCATCTCCAACTGACCTGGTTACAATATGAGGGACTTAGGTTGTGCATGCTCTTATTATGATTTTTTAAAAATATAACACTTCTCCAGGCACACCAGCTCATCATTTTCCTGACATGTTACTTACAAATGAGAAACCAACATGAATTCTAGGTTTTATGAACAGATGTTTAGTATATGATGCCTGATGCTTAAAATAACTCGAAAGAAAAACAGCATTGCTCAATTACTAACCGATTTTACGTTATTTTCAGATAACTCTTAAGTACACCATTTACAAAAGACACATGCCAATTAAACAAATTAATAAGCATTCTTTTCTATTACCTAATATAGTTATAAAGTGAAGCTTTCCTCTGGTGCTACCAAAAAAAAAAAAAATCAAGAAAGCTGACAGGTCCTCTTCAGCTTGAACTCCTAGAAACAAAAGCCCTTAGGGAAAGTAATGCAATAGTCTATGAGCAAAGTGTACATTTGCTTCTGAACTCTTTCATTTAAATCTCAACTAGCATTGAAAGGAAAACAAGAAACACATTACATAGATTTTGATTTAGTAAATGAACATTTTTAATCCAAAAGGATGGCCAAGGCACACAACGTACATACATACATACACACACACACACACGCACACACACACACACAGGCACAGCAATACACTGGCCATCAGAATCAAGCATAAATACCTACACAGCTTTTCAATGCTTTCCAAGTAGTCTCCTTTAGTTTTGCTTCCTCACAATTAAAATAAAACCACACACACACACATTCTCTCTCTCTCTCTCTCGCACACACACACACACACACACACACACTCACCTACACACTCACATTCTAAACAAAAAAAGTTTCTATGATTTAGGCATAATTTTATAGTACCACAATATTTCATTTCATAGGCCACCTTTTAAATACACATTATAAATGCATTGCTGGGCCGCTGTTGTGAACACCTCTACAAAGAAACCATTGAGACTGTCTTCATAAAAAATTAGTTTTAAGAAGGAAAAAAACAATAAAACTCATTTGCAAAGTGACAGTAATTTTGGCATTCAGAGACAGAATCTTTGTGATTCTTTGATGATCAATATGGCTCTTACTGGAAAAGCTTTGTCTTAAGACCCTGCGGTAGATATTCTGATAATAGGAGTTTATTGTTCACTAAATAAAATGGACAAGTGCAACGTCACTACCCAAGACATGTTGTAGCTCCATTAGAAAGTTCTCAATTTGCTTTCCCTTTACACTCAAATACATGGAAGTACATCCATGTGAGTAGAACAAGAAGGGTATGTGAAAACATGGCAATAGGCATTATGATTTCTCAAATTATGTAAGTGCAAATAGCTCTTCATCAAGGAGTAATTATATAACAAAATCTCTCCCACTACCACAACTCATCTCCAACTGACCTGGTTACAATATGAGGGACTTAGGTTGTGCATGCTCTTATTATGATTTTTTAAAAATATAACACTTCTCCAGGCACACCAGCTCATCATTTTCCTGACATGTTACTTACAAATGAGAAACCAACATGAATTCTAGGTTTTATGAACAGATGTTTAGTATATGATGCCTGATGCTTAAAATAACTCGAAAGAAAAACAGCATTGCTCAATTACTAACCGATTTTACGTTATTTTCAGATAACTCTTAAGTACACCATTTACAAAAGACACATGCCAATTAAACAAATTAATAAGCATTCTTTTCTATTACCTAATATAGTTATAAAGTGAAGCTTTCCTCTGGTGCTACCAAAAAAAAAAAAAAATCAAGAAAGCTGACAGGTCCTCTTCAGCTTGAACTCCTAGAAACAAAAGCCCTTAGGGAAAGTAATGCAATAGTCTATGAGCAAAGTGTACATTTGCTTCTGAACTCTTTCATTTAAATCTCAACTAGCATTGAAAGGAAAACAAGAAACACATTACATAGATTTTGATTTAGTAAATGAACATTTTTAATCCAAAAGGATGGCCAAGGCACACAACGTACATACATACATACACACACACACACACGCACACACACACACACAGGCACAGCAATACACTGGCCATCAGAATCAAGCATAAATACCTACACAGCTTTTCAATGCTTTCCAAGTAGTCTCCTTTAGTTTTGCTTCCTCACAATTAAAATAAAACCACACACACACACATTCTCTCTCTCTCTCTCTCGCACACACACACACACACACACACACACTGACCTACAGACTCACATGCTTAAAAAAAAAAAACTAAAACAACGCAGCTGATATGCTTTTTTCTACCCAAGTAGCAGTGCCAGCCCCTTCCCTACCTACCCAAATGTTCCACCAGCTTCAGCACCTGGACGAGTGGACAGCTCAGCCCGGGCTGACCGCCCGCAGCACTCGCAGCAGAACTGACGCTCTGAGCTCTAACCAAAGCTCTCTCGTGCTTCAGCGGGGCAGCCTGACTTACGAGAACACCATTTCCTACGAGACCACTGCCGCTGGGTGCATATTCAATTCAAACCTCTTTAAGCTGTCGGATTTCCCCCACCCATTCACCCTCCCCCCTTCTCCACCCTCCACACAAAAACAGAAAAGGGAAAAAGCCCAATACCATCAGGGCGTTTGTTGATCAACTTACACTTTGCTTTTGAATATTTAGATACTGCTAGCGGAGCAATATCAGCGGAGGCTTAGGTCCGCATTAAGTACCTTTGTTCATCGACTCCTGCAAGCCATGTTTATTAGAATCTACATTTCTCTCGCGCCCGAATAACTAGAGGTGTGTTTTGCGGTCAGGGGGCTTTCAACACCTTTTGATCTCTCAAGGCCACCGCGACCGACTGTCGGTCCCCGCTACTTTCCTACCTTATTACCCACACTCCAACACCCATCCCAGTTAAACGCTTAGTAATTTGCAACCAAATATACATAAAGAAACACGACAAAGCAATCGGTTTGAGGAAATAAGCCAATTAAGCTAAAGCAGAAATGCTTCTCTCTCGCTCTCTTCCTCTCTCCCCTATCCCTCCCTCCCTCTCTTCCTCTCTCTCTCTCCCCCCTTGACTCCCTCCCTCTCCCTCTCTCCTTCCCTCTCAAGTAGAAAGGGGGAAACACCAAGGAGAGGGAAAAAATCGGGAGGAGGGTGATAGTCGACTCTTACAATCAATGGAAAAACACTATACACATCTTTACGGAATAATACTCTCGTTCTCAGACAAAAAGAAACACATTTATGGATGTAAACATAGTCTCCCTCTCCCACACATCCTACATCCTTTACGTTTACTGAGATTTGTCTTGCGGTATAGCAAAGTAACTGTCACAAATCCATCTCAATTGAAGTGCTTACCCTCTAAATCCAGGTTTCAAGCAGGACTCCAACTGTGTGTAGAAGCCAGCCTCTGATGTGCGACGAGGCAGGCTCTGGGCAGTGGGAGCTGCTTCCCTCCGAGTGCTGGGTTACAGTGTTAACAAGCCCTGGGAAAGGACCTCGGCGCCTCGCGCTGGCTGTGCCCCAGTGCCTTCGCGTGGTGGCGGCTTGCTCACGCTTCCGAGGAGTCCCAGGCGATAGCCTTCAGCTGATGCGAGCTTCCAGAAAGGAGTGGGGAAGGGGGGAAAAATCATCTAATGCAATCAAATCGATCTGATCTACACCATCTGTCGCCTGCCACTATACACAAACGTTAAAACAGGAAAACGGAAAACACTGACAGCCCGAGAGGGTTGGTCTGCAAAGAGTTCATTTTTAGCAGAGCATAATTGGGTATGGTCGGCGTACAGTTACAAAAGCTGCTGTTAACCATCCAGTAGTGGATCCCAAACATGCTAATGGTGGATTAATTGAGGAAGATCTGACGTGCAAGCTTCATAGTCTCTTATTCATGACTTCCCAATGGGAAAGGACCAATGCCTTGTGGGACTATGGTAACATACAGTCAAAAAGCTGCTAAGAAAATGGCTGTGTGTTCACAGCACCTCTCTCTGATAACAAACATATGTCGACTAAAACGGTTTAGTAGAATGGGAGGGGGGTGTTGGGGAATAAAAATTTCTTTTCCTGTGTAAGCAATTCACATCTTCTTTCCTTAAAGAAAAGCAAAAATAGATACCATATATTTACCATGGTGGGGGGAGAATGTTTTGAAAGGCTTTTTATCAAGATAAAACTCTGCCATATAAAAGAAAACACTCCTGTGCATCAATTCTAAAAAAAAAAATCTATTATCATTTTTTCCTTACTGTGATCAAAGTAGATCCATAGCATGTGCTGTATATGAAAACTCAGTCCAGTTAATCCCACCAGGATTGACTCAAGGTTGTTTAATGCTAGGTGCCCTTTTGACTTTTTGAAATCATGATGCCTTTTGGGCAAAGTATTTTGTATCATTTAAAATGAACATAATGAACATTACGTGTGATTGCAGAGAAGCGATAAAGAGGGTTTTGTTTTTTGTTTGTTTTAATTTTACAATTACTCCCTCCAGTGAAAACCCCTTTTGGTGTTTTTGCAGTCTTTCCTGATCAGGTGATGTGGGAAATATAAGGATGGTGGAGGGAGTGGATATACTGAGAGGAAGTCGCATGCAGATTGTCACTAGCCAGTACATTTTATGTTATCTGTAAGAGAAAAATATATGACGATAAAAGAGAATCCTTACTAATTGTTGATCTTACTAATTGTTGATCATGACATTTAACTATAAACCAGCTTTCCACATTAATGCTTTATATGTAGAATAAAACATTGCAAACAGGGTGACTATCCCTCATCCACTTGTAATTATAAGATTTTTCAAAAGGATTTTGAAAAGAGAATTTATCTAGCTATCTGGCATTCTTTTATTATCTATATCTAAAGATTCCACCTTTCCTCTGATTTCATCCTCCATTTTCACACTAAAAAATGCATACATTTTTATTCTGCTGCTTTTTTTGGATACCATACATTACATAAATTACATAATAAACAATTAGTGTTGAGGATCATTCTTGAGATAACTGAATATGTCTCCTGAAACTTTGATAATCTCTTTAAGAAAAAAAAATCCCTAAGTTATGAATTAGATTAGTCTAAAAATACAGCTTGAAGACAAATCAAACAATTTACCTGATCTTTTGTTTCAATATACATTAATTAAGCACTCTTTCTAACCTACACAACATTCCAGGGTCAGAGTCAGAAATCCAAGTCTAATAGCTCAGCAGTCTTTGTTGTCATTCGTGTCAAGCTATTGCCCCCTGCAGGTCAGGCTGAAAGTGCAGGCAGAATTTGGCCAAGTCCTCAGGAAATTTATGGTAATCACGTTATTCAGTCTCTCAATATTAAAGTACCATCAACTTTTTAACTTAAAGTTTGTTTTCGTTAGGATTTGAACTGTTTATTTAGAGATAGCTAGTAAATTCAGGGGGGAAGAGCTTTAAAGATGGGTGATTTTGATTTTTCTTCTGAGAACTTATGGTGAATGGAACAGACCCTCTACTTTGTTGTGACTGACACACGAAGCAGCTTGATATATTCAATATAATTCTCTCCATCTTTCCTTATCTGTTCCCCACACGATCCAGCAGAATTCAAAAACAAATGCAAGAGAATTAGAATTATGATTTCTCAGTAATAAAGATGTAGTCCTGGGCAATTTACTACTTGATGTCAGTGTGCACTTGGTAGACTCAATGAAGCACATTCAAATCAAACTCTTTCAGATTCTTCCTACTGCTGATATGACGGGGACAATTACGCTGTTTTTCTTGATTATAAAATGAAACATAATTTCAACCTCCACACTCCTGCTAAACAATCATCCTTTCCGAAAATCAACTTTCCCAAATAAGGCACCTTGCCAAGATGAAATAAATTTATAATTGACAGAATAGAAATTAAATTGCATCAACTTTTCCACAGCATTAGAATGTGGAGCAGGCTTATGGGAATGGTTTGAGAAGGTTTATGGGAAGAACCTTCCACATTTTGGAAGTCAATAATGGGGCTCTTCACACTGACTTGTGAAAAAACCTTCAGTGGTATTTCCCTGTTATTTAAGTATGCATCTCATTGAGCAACAGGATCTCATTATGCAAAATATCATCAATTCTCAAGCCAAATTAGCAATTGATAAAAATTTTATCCAGTCTTATGTTAGAAGTATTATTTCGACATTGTGTGGAAGTAGCTAGAAACATGAACTGCATTTTGGGACTATGAAGCCATTCTGAAATGTTCCAAAAGACTTAAATAAAGGTTAGTAGGGGGACTCAAGATATTTTTGGAGGCTTTTAGACTCTAACCTTTGATGTCTTTTCCAGATCCTTCCAAATGGACACATGGGCTAGAAAATGGGGATAAACAGTGTCACATTTTAAACAACACTAAATACTAAACAAACTCAAAACATGCAAGTACAAAACTTGAATGCCTATTCCTGTTTTATCACATTTGTACAGCATGTTGTTAAATTTCAAGAGGACACTATGTCTATAAATTAAGATCTCCACCCCACAGTTCATTTACACTCCTGCTCAAAGCACAGAGGATCTTTGGACTAGACTGTTGGACTATTGATTACACAAGCATGTCTAGCCAGAATAGGGACTGGTTGTCTACAGATGACATCTCCAGTTGTCTTCGAGTGGGCATTTTTTAAAAAAGATTCATTTCTTCTTCGAAATCATGTATCACATACATGATATGATTAGATATGATTGAGTATACACAAACATATTGCTACTGAGCCAGAAAACTTCAACTGTTTTGATTCAAATGCCTGTAAATACCTATCAATAGATAGAATTGCTTTTAATTAGCATCCAGAGAAGAGTGTCATTTGACCTGGGCACCTAAATAAAGGGAAACGTTGTTCTTAAACTCTCATACACCACGCAGCAGATTGCCTGCAAGTCGCCTGAAAAAACATAATCCTACTCCTCTTACTATCACCACTATTGTTCTGTTTCTAAAGGATCCGAAATAGGGTTCTGGAAACCTCATAATACTGCTATTGCTAGAATCTTGGGTTATTAAACATTCTCATCCTCAGAAGCGAAAGACCATCCAATCCTATTCATATGCACCCTATGACTCAACTCAGTTTCCACTTGGCGGGCTGTGTGTGTGTGTGTGTGTGTGTGTGTGTTCATCTGAAAGCGCTTATGTTTCCAGAGGTTTTCAAATGCAAATAGGGTGGGAGTGGTGGTGGCGGTGATGGAGCGCAGTGTGTGGGTGTAGGGGGATTTGGGGAGAGGGCGTCGCAGGCATTAACTACACAAATTCAAGGCCATTACTACCACTGCAGATCAAAACAACTTAGGTTTGAACACCCCCCCCCTTAGAAAGATAAAATGCCTTCCTCATCTAAACCGAGGCAAACTAAAGGCAGGTCTCAGCGCTCGCGCGTTTTGAGAGGGGTCCCGAAGATAGCGGAAGCCAGTTCTCGCTGACCGCCTAGGGACCAAACTCTCGTTTGGCGAAGCGGAGAGCTCATGTTTTCAGGCCCAGCGCGCCATCCCTGGGAAGGCCAGCAGTCCTGGGCCCAGGGCAGGGCCCCGCTGCAGCCACACCGACCGGTTTCAGCAGCTCGCCAAGCTCCGGCTGGGACCCGGGCCTCCTCTGGGAGGGTGAGGGAGCGAACACTCAAGCTCCACCCTGGATCACAGACCGTGGAAAGGAAGCGATAGCAAAGGTGTGGCGCCCAGGACAGCAGTAGGCAGACCACTGCCTCTCCTAGCTGAGTGGGCCTGCGCTTTGCGGTCCCAGAAGCGCAAGGCGCGGTCGGCGCGGAGCGCGGGCGTGGGGAGTCAGCCTCTCTCCGCATCCCCTGCCGCGCGCTCTCTCCGGGCCTCCAGGGTCGGGGCCAGCGACTTCGGCTAGCCTCCCAATGCCCTCGCGAGGAAGGCTGCCTGACGGAGCCGAAGGCAACCTAAGCTGGAGGCCGGAGCGACACGGCGCCGCGGGATCGGGAGCGGGGTAAGGTGGAAGCTCGGACCCTGTTCAGGAAAATGCCTGACTCCTCCAAGATTTGTCAAGTCTAAAGCAGTTATGGGAAGGCTCTGCGGGCTATCGGGAACCCCACAGTGTGGCTCACCCTTGGTTTCTCTCAAGCCCTTGCCTTCCAGCCCTGGTCCTCCCCTCTCCAGACTCCCCGCCCTGCGCGAGTCCCGGGGCACTCGGGCTAAGCGCGCCGAGCCTAGAGAAGAAGCCCCCGGCTGGCCGGACGCGGCGGCCGCGCCCGCCCGCTCCGTTCCCTCCGCCCCGCGGGCGCCGCCCCGCCCGGCCCGGCAGGACCCTCCCGCGCCCCAAGCGCTGGGGCATCTTAAAAGAAACCGAAAACAAAACAAAAACAAACAAAACGCCAAAACCCACTCTCACCTCCTCTACTGCTCAAAGGTAAGTGTGAGTTCAGTCTTTCCCACGGCCCTCTCTGACCCTCTTCTAGTCCTCCGGGCTGAGGTTTAGGGGAGCCCAAAGGGGCGGTCCAGAAACAGATATCGCCATTGCCTTTGAAAACACGTTTTGCAAGCATCAAGATCAGACAGACACAGACCACACATACACACACACACACACACACACACACACATCCCACTCAGCCAAACCCACACTTACCGTCTGGAAGAGGACTACTGATGTGCATGTTTCTAGAAGCGTGTCATTAGTCGCTGGAGGAAATGTTTACTAGTAGTGCAGGTTGTAGGCAACATCAATAATCATTCTGCAAACTGGGGGAGGGGAGAGGATAGGAAAAAAGATTCCCCTTGGTGTAACTCTCTCTGCCATAACCTGGGTTCTCGCCTTGGCTTGGGCAGAAAAGTTTCCATCCTCATACTGAGAAGGACAGAGAAATTCATCTATTTCTACAATGGATTTCCTGTGCCCTAGCCCCTCACCAGGGAACTGAGGATAGGATTGTTTTGTTTATCCAGACAATTCATGACTTCGTTTTGTATGGCGTTTTGAAATTAGTTTAACCTTGAAATAGGCTCTATGCTTTGAGTGGCAGGTTTTTCTGTTCTTAGGAAAAGGTTGTTAGAAATTACAATGTCTCTATTCAGGTAACCTTGAGCTAGAGATGGGCATAGTCGCTTATTATTGCAACTTTCAGAGAAGCCTGTTGCCTCTGGATGTTTACTGGCTTTGGAGAAGGATAGCTACATTTTTTTTCCCCACCTAAGTTTAGGCCAACAGTAAGTAGGGATAGATCCAGTAAGGAATCAATAACATTGCTTCTATTTTACACACTTTTCGGAGAGAGGACATTCAAGAATTTTGATTCTCCTTGAAATTAGTTTATGGTAGGCAAGATCTAGGACTGAATCTTTGAAAATGGCATCTGTTTTCTTATTTGGTATATTCTGGTGGATGACAGAGTCTTTGACCTGCTAAGAAGGAAAGGAATGAGACTGATACGAACAGAGATCTGGTATGTTTCCATGATATCTATCAGTTCAGGAGATTTGAGTAGGTCCTAGACAGTTATCACTTCTCTGGAAGGTGAAATAATTATAATAATGAAAACCAACATCTTTTGAGTGCTTACTCATTGACGAGTGTAATGTGGAGGGCTTTACCTACATTATCTCATTTAGTTCCCACTGTAGTCCTGTGGATTAGGTCCTGTTTCACAGAGAAAGAAAGTAGGGCTTCGGAAGGTTTATTTACTTGGCCAAAGTTACAATTGGAAAGCAGAACAAGGGTCCAAAAGCAGGCAATGGCAAAGACATCCTGAGGACTTGAGTTTATTGTTTTGAATATGACTGGTAATAAATTAAACTGGCATTTTAGGTCTGTCATGGAAAAAAGAAGTTCTTATTATTGCTTTTTAAATTTATTTATTTATTTTGTCAGGAAAGCATTTGATGTAAGGGAAATACTTTCTCTGTAAAATACATGTTACCAGTTACCTAACCCCATTTCACAGATGAGCAAGCAGAGAACGAAACAGCTTAGCTACCATAGTAAAGTGCATAGCCAGGCCTTAAAACTTGATTTTCTGATTCCAGCACCTCTATCCATTCTACATAACCACAACATCAAAACACTAGAAGGCTCCTTGATTTTTTCAAAATGCCCACCAGTAGATCATTAACAGCTCGATGCCCATATTTCTCACTGAGGAAGCTTTCTTTCACCTTAATTGTGAATACCTTTTTACACCGAAAAGATGCAAACGTAGAAATGGCACGATTCTCCACGGTGAATTAAATGACATAAAAATGGCAAAAGATTAAGTTAACTACATCAGCTTTGCTTGAAAAGCAGTTAAAGAGATATCTGAAAGGCCTAACTCAATACAATTTTAGTCTTTTCTCCCCTCCCCGAAACTCTTCCTACCCTATTCCAAGAAAGTCATTTGTTCTACATTACATTTCTGCTAGCTTTTGTTCACATAGAAGTTTAACAAGGTTTTGTTGCTTTCCATCTTCATTCATACATTTTTTTCCTCTGCAGCTGTGAATGGTTACAGTACAAATGTCAAAACAAACCTCTGGAGTGACCACTTTAGTGGAAAAAAACATACACTATTAATTGGCCAAAATTTTTGACTGGCATACACATTATGATGCACTGACGTGTCTTGTGAAAACTGATGTATCATGTACTGTAAAGTTAGCTCAGTTTCCGGAGGTGCTTCATAAAATGATCTTCGGGTTCCTCCATTTTCAGCAGGGCTCAAAGTATCAGAGAAAACCAGATGAACTGCCTTAAGTCACTGATTGGACTGTAGCCCATATGTCTCAGCTTTCTGAGTCATTTGTGTGCAAATTATTTGGCCACATGGCCTCCTGTCATGTCAGGGATCTGTGATTTTTCCAGAGGTTTAATTTAGTTGAATATGATTGTTAATGTCAAGTTGGGAATTTTCTCCCTCCCACCTCTCATTAAAACCCTTAATATCAGTATCAGTTTGAAACTATTATGTTATATAATAAGGCTTGCTTGTCTGCGTGAATTTAAAACATAAATGCTTTCACAGATTTTTAGACCTGTAGGGCTTTAGGAAATGATCTGGTCTAACCCTTCTGTTTTGCTGATGAGTAAATTGATGTCTTGAGGAAGTAATATAGAATTCTCAAGGTTACCCATCTAGTCAGGAAGAGAATGAAAACTGGAACCCAGATAAAAAACTGCTGTAAGGCCAGCGCATTCCCACAGCATCATGTCCTTTCTCCTTTGATTGTCAGAAATTCACTCATTCATTCAACTACTAGTTATTGCCATGAACTTGGCAACTGTCCTAAGCATTAGGAATTCAGCAGAGGGAAAAATAAAACAATCCTGAAAAAGGCCTTCATTTGTTGAAACTTATATTCTAGTGGCGGAACACGACAAAATCGAATGCCAATCTTAACAGTGACTATAAGGGCATTTTAAAAACACATTTTTCTTTTAAAAAAAACAGCAAAAAAGGTCTGATGTATTATAGTATGTCAGACAGAAAGGAATTTACTGATATTCTCTCATGTTTCCTGTTAGAGAAGTTTGGGGAACTCTAGTGTCTTATAATGAAATTACTGACTGGAAATTAGTAATGGGCACAGCAGACCTTGCCCAGTAAGTAGAGCCCTCTCAGATGATCTGTTCACAGATCAACA